CACCTAGTCCCAATGACCAAGAGGTCGAGGATGGGGACTAGGGAGTGCCTAAGGGGTCCTTATATACTAGAAGGGCTGCTTAGCAACCAAAGACAAGGCGCGAGAGCGAGGCAGTGAAGATGACAAAGGGAGAACAAAGGGCGGGAAGGAAAAGGCAAAGGCATGGTGATCACGGGAACGTAGCATGCGGGTGTGGGAACGTATCTGCAGTGTCCAAACTGGGATGGGCTAAGAAAGGAAATGGTCCGAAAATGGAAGGTGGGCGTCAAGGGGAGGGGAATGGGCGGCAAAAAGGGGCGTCTGTCCAACGTCCGTGACAGTCCAGATCTGGGGGCTATACCAAACCTTCTGCGTCAATCGTGCAACCTGTAGATAGAATAGTACAAGTACTTAGTTAACAATACATATAAGCATCATTCGAAAATGATTTACCTTCTCCAAGGCGATTTGAACGAGCTTAAGATCGTCATTCACGACGACAAGCTCGGGGTGATCTTCCTCCATGGCCAGGATGTCGGCGTCGTCGGCAGCCTCGCGAGAGGCATCCAGATCTCCTGGGCGCAAGTCTTTCCCATCATCCTGGTCATGGGCGTCGCGCAGAGCTGCTATTTTGATGGGGGTGGGCTTGCCCTTGGCACAGGCAAACTGAGACATGATAGCCTGTATGGCGCGTGAGTTGCAAGTCGAAAATCAGTACAAATACTGCGTACCTTTACAACAAGACTCAGGACGTGTGCAAAGCATCGCACACGTCCTTCCGAGCCACGTGACTGAGGGAGCGGCTTCTTGATCTCCCTCATCATCACGTTGTTCGTGGTTGCATTGTCCGAAGTGGTCGCAATGATCTATCACAAGATTTTACTGAGTCAGTATAGCGTGCGGATGCCAATATGTCCATGATGAAGTGACACTCATCGGGCGCACACTTCACACCACAGCCAGTCCTCTTTCCATCTGGCTCGAAATTCCAACAATAGACATGTCTGGCTTACCTTGTCCTTGATTCCATAGTCTCGGAAGCACTCAATGAGCCGTTCGGCCAGGTATTTGGCCGTATGAGCCGATGTGAGTCTGAAAAAACTAACATGAACGTTGTACGTCGTAGAAAGTGCAAAAGTTCCTTACTTCACAAAATCAAGAATAATATGGCGTATCTCCCCCTCCTCGTGCCAGTGCGCCATGAGCCCGAGGAAGGAGATGACATTAGGTGAGGTCCACCCGTCTACGCCAATATGTATCTTGCCAGGAAGGTTCTGCATTCAATCGAGTGAGATTTCTGTGTACAACTGAGCAAAAGAGTGAATTACCTTGAAAAGTTTGAGGACATTGTCCTTTGACATCTCATGGATGTCATGGACGTCGTGCGAGACAGTGACCCGAGAAGGCAACTGAGCCTTCTGGTAGAGCATACGCACGATCTCAGGAAACTCCGGGTCCTCAACAATCTGGAAGGCCCGGTGACGACGTGCGACCCACATGGCGATGAGGAAGTGCATGCGAGCAGGGGAATACTGCCCCCCACTGGCGTAGGCGGTGATCAGCTCCGTTTCAGGAGAGTCGTCGGAGTCGCAGGCTTTCGCATGACATGATAAGTTCCCCGTCGACTCCTGATATTCCATCCAATTGACGTGCTTCGAGGGATGCCTGCTAGATGAGTGAGTAACTGAGGAATTGAGCAGTAGCCATATTGAGGGGGCTTACTTCTTACAGACGAACCAGTGGATATGACCACCATTGGGCCCTTTGATAATCTTGGGCTCGAGAAAATGACGGTATACGTTGGACCTCCAGCCCTTGGAGAGCTGGGCTACATGAGTAAAATCAGAGATAGAATGGAACGCGAAACAATTGATACGGAACGTACCTAGAGTCTGCTGGGGGGTAAGCCCCGCAAAGCGCTGGGCAAACCGAGCATGGCGCGTGTTCTCCGCCTGCACTCCAGCGAGCTGTGCAGCCGTGCGGGCAGAAGCCTTGACAGCAGATACACCCTCATGGCCATCGCTGTCGATGGCAGAGGTCTCACCATCAGAGAGGGTGATAGGCTCGTCTGAAGCTCCAGCCTTGTTGCCCTTCTCGCCAGTAGGGGCCCCTTTCTTGACAGGCTTGGCAGTGGCCGGATCGTTGGAGTCATCCTTGCGCTTCTTGGTGTCACGAACCGCCCTCACGGCGCTACATTTCCTTTTCGATTCGGACCACTGCCTCGTACATTTCCTTATTGTTCACTACTCACTACGGTTTCCCTTTGTCCACACACGGACAATAGCTCCCTTTGTCCCCATGTCCGCTATTGTCCTACACCCCTTGTACTCCGTACCCATGGCGACGCTATTGTTCTCTAGCGCCCATTGTTCGTTCCCTGTATATAGCTGGATCTCTTGCTACCTGGAGACTCTAGTTTCGACCTCTTGTCTCCAGGTAAGCCATCGTGTATTTCGCTCTGTAGATACCTCGCTCAATACACAACTTGTCTCCAGTCCTGCCTGTTGAGCTCCGCTCCAGTCTCACTGCGATCAGAGCTCGTCGGCGCTCCTGCCTGCCTCGCTCGTCTCCA